ATTTTAAGAAGGAAGCAGTAATACCGTCAAACCCCGGGGAGCGGTTGTTACCAAGGCTGAAAACCGCCTTCTGCACCTCCGTCTCCATAACGTCGGCCTCCAGCACCTCACCGAATGGGGGGGGGGGGGTGGATCTTTTCATCCTCTCGAAATTCCGGCCAGTCATTTAAGCTCACTTGCCTTTCCTTCCATTTCAAGAGGAAGAAGCTCCAGAACTCATCCCGAATAAGCTTCTGGTCGGTGATGGTCTCCCCATTCTGATCCTTGATTTCCCTTATAGTGTTGCTGCGCCGACGAGTCGAAGCATTAGAGTGGAAGAAATGTGAATTGGCATCCCCCTCCTCAATCCACCGTGTCTTCGCTATCTGCCTCCACCACGTCGCAAGCCTTGCCAATGCGGCAATCAGCTCACCCGCGACATGTCGAAGCTCACCGTCCTGTTCCGCCGACAGACCGACCGACGAGCACTCAACCTCCTGTAGCCACGCAATACGGGCTTCCAGAGAGGACTTCAGCTCCCCTAACTCCTTAGATTGCGGCTCCAGTAGAACAGTGCCCTCAGCGTCCTCGAACACTTCCGATTCAGGATGTCATCCGGGCTACCAAAATCCGCCTTAGACCAGTTCTTCCATACCAATTTCCAGGTAGCCGGGTAGGTCAGTCAAATGTCCTCAAAACGCAGCCAATTGGATCCTCTACTGCGAGTCGAAGAATTCAATGACAACAGCAGCGGGAAGTGATCAGAGGCGAGACGGACTAAGTGCTTCACCGTCGCCAGCGGAGCCAGACGCAGCCCTTCCGTGTTCATTTGGACACGATCCAGTCGCACCCAAATTTTGCTACTACCACTCTTGTTATTAGACCACGTAAATTTGGGGCCCGAGAACCCCAAATCATGGAGGTCATTGTCGCTCATGAAATTCGCCATTTCTTGAGCCCCCACCGAGTAAGTGAAGCACCGTCCACCCTTCTTTTCCTCTTGAGCCAGACAACAATTGAAGTCCCCTCCTACAAGGACCTGGTCTTCAGCGTTAATCAGCGAGCCAATGTCATTCCAGAGTGCCCGCCGGGAATGATAGTCCTTACTAGCACTTGATTCGACGTCAGACAAGCCACAAACTGGGCAGCATCCCGCTTCCAAAGTGCAACGAACGCCCACTGGCCAGAACATGGAGGAAATCCCAATTTTTCCCAATAATCCTGTCCACATCAGACCTATTCACATCCTCAATCATGGTTTCAGTCAACCCAACAAAATCCACCTCATTATTGCTAACAAGGCTTCGCAGGTAGTAGCCCGTTTGCTTCTTATGGGCCCCCCCTGCAGTTCCAGAAGAGGGCCGTAGAAATTAATTAACCGAAGGGGAAGCGTCCGCTCCACAATCCGTATCCACTACCTCTTTTTTCCTCTTCCGAGGAAGCTCCACCGGAGAATTGAATAGGCTTAGCTCCGTGTCGAACGAGAACCTATTCATCGTGGAAGTATCCGAACGTATCCCAGCCGTAAATGGGAGCGGTTTCTTAAAACCCATACGTTTCTGCACTTGAGTAGGCCGCACCTTACTGTGGGGGAGGCTCAGTTTACTCAGATCAACTCGCCTGGTAGCATTCACCTTGCACTTGGGGTTACCACTCGGTCCAGCCGTGCCCGGGGCCCGGGGGGACCTCCTGCGTCTAGGAGGGACTTGAATCCAAGGTCCAACCGCCTCATCATCCTCCTGGGCTCCCACACTGGGATCCAATCCCACACTGGACGAAGCCGGGGGGGGGGGGGGGGGGGGGGGGGGGGGTGGGGCACCCCGTGCCCGCTGCTTCCCGAACTACCACTAGAAGGTGGAGGAGGTCCACTGCCATTCTCAGATGCCACAGCGAGGCCAGGCTTAGGGGTAGACAATGACTCCACAATACCGAGTGAATGGAGGGGAGCATTACTCATCTCGGCCTGATGTCGCATTGACGGCTTGTCCCTTGAACTGCTCGGGACCATCACTCCGATATAGTAAGGCTTGCAAGGGCATTGTTCCCTCCGGTGGCCCACTTTGCCATATCCATAGCACAAAAGGCCTATCCCCTCCAACCGGTTGGTAGAATTTTCCTTTCCAACCATTGACCCAAGCTCCCGCAAGCAGCTTATTGGCCAAATTCACCCTTACACAAACCCGAGCATATTCGCGTCGACCTCAGCTGCCGGTTTGCGCATCAATCCATAACGGAGTACCAAACCTGGAGGCAATCCTCACATTGTTACACTCATCCCAATACCCATTATGATATCAATATGTATCTTCTTTTGAATTAGAATTTATGTCAAATTGAAATTGGAGGAAGTGGAAGTCTTATTCATCTTTTTATCGTTATACATTTCATAGGCATCTTATGAATTGATGAACTTATTTCATAATTATCTTATTCAAGTTGCTTATTCATACTATAGGATTGGGTCCAATTTATAAATCAATCTTTCTTGTATAAGAGGGTTAATTTTTCACTCTTATACTTGGAAGATGATTTTACAACTGAAATAATCATTTCAAGATTTAAGTAAAGGAAGCCTCCTAAAAAAAAAAAAGTGGTTTCCCTTTCTAAATCTTGAATATCATAGGACCTATTCATCATTTAGTATTTTTAACACTTGACTTTAAGAATTCAAAATTTGATTCATCATCAAGCATTGATGTTCTATTAGATGTAAAATATATGTATCATATAAAAGATTTGGAAATATTGAATTTCTACCTCCAATTTGATTCTCTTTTGATATAGTTTTTAATTCAAAAAGAAGAAAAATATGAAGAAGAAAACCACAGTTTTGCTTGTAGGAAGCTTTGATCTGGGTTAACAAAATCTACATCCCGAGACCTCTCTAGTTAGCAATTTGAGTAGGTCAGTTCAGATTTTAAAATCATTATAAGAAAAATCACATAGATGATCAATCTAAATGGAATTGTAATAGTGCTGGTTGTACATTATTGAGTTTCACATATCTAACCAAATTGAGATGTATAAACAAACTATGATCCAAAAATCTTTAACTCTCTTTTGGACATCTTCCAATTTGAATGAGATTCTAGACAAGATCCTAATACTGGATGATCTATAGTGATATTTATGGATATAAAAATC